TCCTTCTTTTTTTACATTCTTGTTGCTTTCCCAATCAATTATTAAAGCAGCAAATCTCTCTTGTAGGAACTTCATAGATGTTATAAATATTTTATCCCAAAAAATTATTTCATCAAGTACCTTAAGGTTTTTGTTGTTGTCACTTCATGTTAAATGTCAAGTAAAGCCTAATTTATTTAACACACACATGCACGCACACATACCAGACCTGCAGTGGTTCATTGCACTCTGGGAAAAAAAATGAACTGAGTACCGCCATTCCTCTCAGGCAAGGAAGTGACTGCTGGGAGGACAGGGCAGTGCTGCTGTCTCCTGGATGCCGCCTTGTACCTCAGCAGGAAGCAGAATATGGCAGCCTCGCATTGTGTTGGCCAGCCAGGGACAAATGCCACATGTAATGACCTTAGTGGTCTTTTCCAACATCTGTGATTCTATGATCTGGTGATTCTATAAGCTTTCCCATGAAGCTACGGGTGGGTTGGGTGAGATCACAGCTGCTGTCTCATGGCGTAGTGCCACCTGGGATGCATCCAGCAGCAGACCAGGGCAGCCATGTCTCACAGCTGGATGCAGTCTGATTGAGCCCTGCCTGGAGCCATGAGCCCATAAGGAGGGCAAGGACCTTACAAGGAACTGGCTCGGAAAGGTGAAGCATCCTTGTTGTCCCTGGAGGCTGGGTAGGAGAAAGCTTCTCTGGTCTGAAGGGAGACTGAGCTTCAACTCAGGGCTTTCTAACAGATCTTTCAGTCTTCTGCTTCCATGGGCCTCCCTGAGGCTATGCCTGTTTGTTCTCGATCAATACATCTGCTACTGCATGTAAAAGCATCAGTCTGGTGACCAGCTCCAGAGAGCTAAGTAAACAACCAAGACAGGTCTGTTGGCAGATCTGGGTGTAGGGGTCAGACTCAGAAACTAGCAGACCTGGAGCTGAGCAGGCCCCTGCCCTGGAGGACTGGGCAGCCTTCACCACAGCCCCTCCCTGTTTTCTTAACCTCAGCTGGGCATATGCCCAGCTCACATAAATGAATTCTTTCATCCCAGTTTCAACAGAGCCAAGGGACATCCAAAGAGCACTGGTGGGGGGCAGGCCCTAATGCATTCTTTCACTGGTAACAAGCCCCAGAAGTGAGAATCCTGGAGTATTGCTGCTGTGTGGATTTTACCATACAAGGAAAAAAATATATTTCCTGCATGTCTTCACCATCCCTTTTCCCTGACGTTTTGCACATCCACACTACTGTCAACACTCCTCACCTCTCCTCACCCAACCAACAGCCAGTGCTCACTCCTCAACCTCATTCAGGAAAGAAGACCATTTCTTTCTTTCCCTCTTAAAATAAAAATAAGGGCCCTAAAAGGCGTACTGTCCTATTTTAAAATCCTAAAGTTGATCTTCTTAAGCCTCGAAGGAAGATAGAATGAGTGAGTGAAACCAAAGCCTTTAAGCTAATTAATACCTTCCCCTCCCTACTGCTCAAAAAGATTTTTTTTCTTCTAAAAATACAGCCATAGCTCATTTTTAATGCTGTCTTCTTTCACATCAATGTCCTCAATAAAGAAGAGAAGCTGAGCCATCATCTCTATCTCAAGATCTTCCCCTCCCCTCACTTTGAAGCTGGGATAGAGAGGAAGATTGGAGAAGGGGCCTTGGTGTGCAGCTTTCATATGGGAAGGGTTGAGAGAGGCAATGGCATAGCCAGGCAAGAGATACAGATGGCAGCTCATGTGAGTGGGCTCTGTAAAACCTTTTCCCCCCTAACACTGGAGGAAGAGCCCAAGTGAAAGAAACATCCACCCTTAGGAGGTGAACATAACACTTAGATTTGCTTTCAGAATGTATAAAAGCAGATGGGAAAGAAACACAAAACCAGCTAGAATGAGAAAAGCAGAGGTGGGTCTGTTTCATGCTAGAAAAGACAACTGTGTGTGTATGTGTGTTCTGAGGTGGGAGGCCACCTCTTGGTGCCATCTCTTTGGAAAACTGCTCATCCATCCCAGGGGAGATCCCTGGGCTTAATCTCTCCCTTCTGCTCTCTCAGAACTGCTTAGTGTTTCCTTTTGTAAGCATGCGCCATACATACTCTACCATACAGGTGTATTTACACATGATGTGGTCTGCTAGGTCTCAGCAGAGGTCTCTGGTACAATGCTCCAACATAACAGAAACAAAAAGTTTTGGTGTTCAGAGTGAGGCCATCTTTGCGTTGTACTGCAGCTTAGGACAGTCTCTCCTCTTCCCAAGCTCTCTTCCATTCTTGCGCTCCCTCGCCTGGAACCAGCTGCTGCAAGGAGATAATATTTGAAGAGCGATGAGAAGAAAGCATGGCAAGTGGAACAGGCTCTCAGCTCCAGCTTAGCAGGCAGCAGCAGTGGTGGCAGGGGGAACTCCACCCTTGGGAGTGCCCCAGCATCTCTCCTTGGCACGGGTGAGTCAGTTTCTCTCTGAGGCTGGCGAAGTTTCAGGGTGGGTATAAACCTATGGCCAGGTAAATGCAAGGCAGGGAAGAAGATCAAGGAGTAGCAAACGGAAGACACAGTGCCTAGAAAGCAGCAGGTCATCAAGCCTCTCAGGAACAGGGCAGCAAAGTGCTACGTGGGAATGGCATGAGCACAGGAGGCCAGCAGGGCTGGCAGGGTGTAAGGATATGTAAGCGCGTAGGTTGGCAGGTTCTATAGATGGCTCTTCATGATTAGCATCATCTTGAGGGGAGACAGGGTAAGAGTTAGCTTTTTTTTTTTTTTTTCCTTTTCTTTTTTCTTTTACTAAAAAATAAATCACAAACTAGATCTCTGTAGGCAGAAAGGGTCCCAGGGAGACGGTGGGGCTGGGAAGCGGGGGAGTCTGTGCTGTTCTGGTGCTGGTGGTGTGGCTACACGAGGCTCCGCGAGCCACTGGAGTACCTGCGCCTCTGAAGCAGGGAGCTGGGGGGGCAATACTGGTGGGGGTGGTTGTAGGGAGGAGGTGGAGGTGGCAGGGGAGGCTGATGGACCAGCTTCATGGGGGTTCCGGGGAGCCCACTGCCCACACCGCGCCAGGGGGTGGAGGTGCAGGAATCAGAGGTGACGTAGCGTGTCAGAGTCTGGTTGAGGGCCGGCTCCATTCGAGCGAGGCACGGCTTGTCCAAGACAATGACTTTGACAATCTGCTGGCACTGTACAAGTGTCCCCGCCGAGGCGGGGTGCGAGGGCACCAGTGCTGTCTCCAGCCGCTCCCGTGGCATGTTAAGACGCATGCTGGGCTGCATTCCACTCTCGGGCCCCAGGGCGGAGTTGTGCTGGTACGTTTGAAGCCTGTTGTGAATTGACACCTATTTTAGAAACAGTCAAAGAAGCATTAAATGTTACAAGACTTTTCCCATCTGCTGCTACTGGCTGCCCTGAACCCCCGCCACCAGTCAGCCTCACATGCATCGAACCCTCCCCTCTTGAAAAAACAGAACAGGCACAAGCCCTGGCTGCATCCCTCTCTCCCAGCAGCCCCATCATCCTATCTAGGCCTTAGTGCCTCTGTCCTTTCCACTGCATCAAAGGCGGCAGGGCTGGTGTTCCCAAATGCAGTGCAACTTTGATTATCCAAACAGCATAGGGAACGCAAATCAACTAAATGAGTGGAGACATCCATAAATTCTTGTGGTAATGAATAGACCTCAGCGGTCATGCCTTTGTCCCCAGCAGCAAAACGAGGGGGCAAAAGGGACAACCGGGTAGCAAGGTTTCAGATAATCGAGGTTGTACATTTCTGCAAAAATGACGGTAGCTGAATCTGAGATAGAGAGAGAGAGACTCGAGCCTTTCCCAGCTCCCTGCCTTTCCGAGTATGAAGGTACACCACATGACTGGCTAATCTGTTTACAAAGGAAAAAAGCAGAAATCTGACATACTCTAGCAAAAGGCAGCTCCCTCTGATCCATTTGATGGTTTGTCAGTGAAAGGAAATGATTTTCAAAAAAGAAAAAAGAAAGAAAAAAAAATGCCCGTCTAGCTCATACAATGATAAAAGAAATTCATGATGAAATGGCAGCAGATTAGATAATCTCAAAGAAATGGAAATGCTCCTCTGCTGGCAGAGTATTACGTGGGCAATGGGAAGGAGGGGGGGGAAGGAGGAGGTCATCAGGGTCCCCACAGAGAGATGCTGACAATAGAGTCACTCAAATAAGAGAGCTCACTGAGACCAGCTTAAAAAGGGAGCTGGTCTGGACTAGAGATCCCTGAGGGGGAAGCACAGCAGTAAAATGGTGCTTCCTGGATGGTGACCGAAGTCATAGTTCCTCCTGGCAAGGACGTGGGCTGATGGAGTCACCAGAGCACTGCAAGGTTGCTGTTGAATGTCAGTCAGATGACAAATCCTGGGTAGGACACTACTGCTCGGAGGCTGGCACAGCACTTCTAGCAAGGCAGGGGTACAGATGGGCAGATTGGGCAGTGGGGGTGCCCTGATGGTCTGTATAGTAGACAGCAGAGCCAGCAACCATGGAGGAGGAGCTGTGGAGTGACCAAGCTTCCCATCATGCTGGAACAAGGATGAGCTGTTTGTCCCTACCCAAGCATGGTGGTTGGTCAGGCCCAGTATGCAACAGGACTGGGTCAGAAATTATTCAGGCAGTGAAACATACCTTTGGAAAAACTGGTTGTTGGGCCATGAAGTGCTAGTGACATTAAAATACATGGAAGTCATTCTCCACAAGAAATCACAATGCCCAAAAGAAATTGGAAGTTGGCTGGGAGAGGCACCTTGTCCAGATAGGGGGTGTCTGCAGGGAAATGGGTGTTCTTCAAGGAACGTCAGTGACACCCACTCCCTGAAGAGAAGCTGAACTCCTCAAACAAATATCAAGAAGGGAAAGAAGTGCCCTGGAAAAGGGCAAATTCAGGAAAATGGAGATATTCCAGACATGGAAAATGTAGGAAGTAGTAAATAAGATTCACAGTGTGAAGACAGCATTTTTCTGTTTTCTTACAGGCAGCGGGAGCATGGGTGTCTGTGAAGAAACAGGCAACCCATGGGTGCTAGACATCCCTGTGAAGATAGAAGCATACAGGACAGCCAAGCTCCCTATCTAGGAAGGTGAAGCTCTGGGAAAAGTCTCTGATATAAAAAGGCCATGCTTAATCCCCTTCAAGGGATGGAGAGACAGCTGCAGAGATTATGCAGGAAAGCTGGGCTGCAGGGGAATTTGCATGTGATGCTGCATGGAGTTAGCATGTCAGGGAAGTCTTTAGTGGGGTTCTCAGTCTCCCCATAAGCAGTGGGGTGGGTTAGTCTACAGCGTTCGGGAGCTTGGTCCATGAGGGATGTTACAGTTATAAAAACGGATTGAAAATGCTTTGAAGTTTAGTTTGGATTTGAAAGTTGTATTACCCGTCCTAGCAGTAACTTTTAATTGTATCTCTGGAAATTGGTAAAATTGTCAGTCTGGCTGGGGAGGCATTGATTAATACCTGAGAAAAGAAACAACAGAGAATGTGAGAAGAGCTGAAGTGAGAGAGAATTACTTACCTCAGCTGCTCCGCACTCTACTTACCTCCACTGTGCTGTCCGAGACCTTCTCCCCCAAATCCTTCTTGCCTTTAAAATAAAAGAAAAGATCTCACTTACGAGATCTGTTCCTCAAGTCAAGAGCTGGCCCACGTAGGGCGGACTGGAAAGCTCTAGGAAGAGGTACAGGGCCCAGTAGGACTCAAGATAAACTGAATTCCTCTTGCAATCCACCAGTTGCATGGCAGTATAGGGGAGACCCTTTTGGGGTCCTATTTTTAGGTCTTGATGTGGAAGTAAGTTGGTAGCCACTCATCAATGCACTTGTTTTTGGCTGGCACAAAACATAAAGCTTCTACAAAACTCAGAACACAAAGCTCCTACAAAGGAGCTGGCATTGCAGAAGTGGCAGAAAAGACTCTAGAGGAAATATATAGTGCCGTTACTCTGTTGCATTAGTTTGAAGAAGGAAAAGTGGGCCACGCTCATTCAAGCAAAGCTGGGTGACTCTACCTGTTGGAGAACTCTGCTTGGACTGTGGTTCTATCTGGGCTCCATTGCTCCGTAGCGAGAGAGTCTTTGCCCCTTGCTGCTTCTCCAGCTCCCCTGCAAGACAGACGTGTGGCAGTGAGTGAGAAGAAGGATGAAGGGAAGAACCAGGGTATACTGAAGGATTAAAGTGGGAAGTCAGCAAGAATTAATATAAGAATATGACAAGAGTCTGTCTAGAAAGGAAGGAGAGAGGAACAGCTAAGAGAGAAACAAAAACTGGAGAAGATTTGATATATGGAGGACCTTACATAAGACCTCTGTGTATGACTTGCATTTATAAAGAATAGGTTACTGCTGCACAGAAGGGGTACCACTGATGCTGAGCTACTTGGGCTTGTCAGTTTATACATGGGAACATCATTAAAGTCTACTCGGACCTTATTTCTGTGTAAGGCAGGCCCCAGAATGACATGGTACAGACTGCTTTTCTCCCAGGTGTCCCTGGAGTGAGAGGACAATTCTGCTAAGACTATAATCTACCATGTTATCTACAATCTTCTCAGATATCTACAGATAGTATTTGCATCGTGTATGAGATGGAGAAGTCTTCTGGGCCTGATAGTCTAAGCTTCTCCACTTCAGTCTACTGTCTCATACACTCTAATTGAGAAGGATCATAAATAGTTCTTCCCTTTCTCCTGCTGGTGAGTGCTCACAAAACCTGGCTGCTTTTTTACTCTATTAGTGAACATAAGAACAGTCCTGGGAAGACTTCTACAACTCATCCTCTTTGTCACTCTTCCTGAAGAACCCATTGCTTTTACATTTTCTCCCTTGCATACGCATGGAGTATGATGGCATCAGAGTCTGAATTGTGGTAGAGGTCCTTACATTCAATACGTATCTGCTCCAGCTCTGTCACTTCTGCTATTGACTCTTTCAGATCTTCCACAAATTTCTGCATTTCCTCGGCTCCCAGAGCACAGAAGTGCAGTACCTGTTTCTTTTCTGAGCCCGAAACTGGAGTCACCAGTGTGATGCCATGGGGGTAATCTGTGAATAAGATGTGTCAAAATAATAGAGAGGCATTAGGGTTTCTTGCTGGAGAAGTCTGCTTTCCTGTCTTTCCAGGACAGAGAATTTCAGTCCGGAGGAACTTGAGAGTTTGTCACACTGCAAATTGTGAGAATCTGCAGCATTGCAGCACTCCAAGGAAACAGAATGGCCAAGGTCCAGCAGCAAGGCAAGTTACCACCACTACCACAGTGGTGCCATAGTCAAAAACCTCTAGATCTTCATTACAGTTAATGTAATGTCAATGCTAACAACCTGAGCACAGAGATGAGACTAAAAAGCCCTCCTGAATCTGCAGAGGAGTTAACAGTATATATGATGCCAACAATACTTTTTCTCCTTTGGGAGTTGCAGCCTGAGAAGTTGGCTCCTGGACTCAGAGCCATTAATATCCTCAGATACAGGATTTCTTTCCAGTCTCTACTTCCACCAGCAGGGAACATAGCTGCAGTGTCAGCACAGCATGGGTAAGGAACTCATCATGCTATGCAGAGAGTGCGGTAAAGTAAGGGTGTGAGTTTGCAGGTCTCCACTTAGTAGTCCCCAAAAGGCAAAACACTGTCAGAAATGAAAATGAAACAAATGCCCCGAGAGTGAAAAGAGCACAACAAAGAGCTTCATGATTTAAAGATCAGGATGTGTGCATGGAGGAGGTGGCTGCAGATTCAGCCAACAGAAGTTGGAGAACAAAGGTATGCAGAGAACTTCTTAAGCTTGTGACTGGACTTTCTCTGTCTTTTGGTCATTGAAAAGTAGTTTCTTTCTCTTTTCTCCTTCCTCCTCTTCTTTGTCTACATTTAGTTTCTTTCTTCACCTGTCATGCTTTCTCTTCTCTACTGTTCCTGTATGTCTGCCTTCTCCACGCTCTTCATCAGCAATCTTTACCAAACAAGTCAAAGACCAACCTGCTGTTTTCTGCCAGCCCTTAGCTCCCTCTGTATTCTAGTTCTCTTTCCCCACCCCGTGTCTTGTCTCATTTATTAAGATCACAAGTTCTTTCAGACATCTGCTTTTCTGGCTCTGCAGAGTATACATAAAAGGATGCCAACACTCCAGGATAGTCAATCATACCCCTGAAAGTAGATTGCAGCTCCAACAATGTATGCTGGGAATGCCCAGTTATAAATGGCTCTTCTGTACATTCAGAAACGTGAAAAGTACTGTGTGCTGTGGAAGGTAGGAAATTGAGATGATGACCCACGCTATCCATAGGGCAGAGCAAAGATGTAAGGAACTCAGTGTAGCCTCAGTACTGCTACAGTGTTCCTTCCTTGCATCATATTCTGCTGGTGCTCACAAAACTCTCGGTAGGCATAAACCAAGCTTGCCTGAGACCACTGTGCATCCCCTTTGCCTTTGCCAGCAGGAAGCCTGCCTGTTTCTGGAATTCCTCCACCACACAACCAGCTTCAATCATGACACATCATGGCTCTATTCCCAGACCATCAAGGTCAGGCTGACTAGGGCTGGCCTCTCGCCATGCTTTGGTGGGTGCTGTTCCAAGGGCTCTGCTTCAATTTCAGGATTGAAGCAGCACATCATACTGCAGGAAGGCAGCAGCAGCAGCACCTGGGTTTTTATCAGTGTCAATGGTAGAGGTGGGTGTTGTGATTTTGGATGCAAGTGGAGAGGGGCTAAAAGCAACAGCAGCAGTTTTGTCAGTGAGGTTCCCCTACTGTTGGCTCCCGAGAGCTAAGTGACATGCACTTTAGGATCAGTTACCTCATTCCTCCAGATTAGTGCCCTCCCTGTCACCATGACAAGTCAACTCACTTCAGTGAACTTAAGGTCAGCCCTTCTGCCCATGTTTAGACCAAGAGAGAGATCAGAAGCCTCTTCTCAGCACACTGTACTTGCACAGTAGTGTCCTCAGCATCAAGCCTGTTTTTTTCTCCCCTCTCATTTTAACCCTGATAGAATCCCTACTCTGATGAAAGATCTCACTGGGCTATGCAGCCTCCTCCTTTCTTCTCCTTTTTCATGCCAAACCCCTTCAGGCAACCAAGGAGAATCAGACTTACATTCATTCTCAAAGAGATGGAACTGCATGCCCAGCAGGCCAACAGACTTGCAAAACGTGTAGGTCGAGGAGCTTTTCTTCTTGGGGCAAAGCTTGAGGATCTGTTAGAGGAACAGACACATCATTGGGTAGGGTGCTGGTGAACACTGAAGCAAGAACAATACAAATTACTCAAAGCACAAAAGAAAAATATTTTTACAAGCTGTGTTAATTGTTAATTACATGGGATGAAAACTTGGTGACTGACAGACTCTTAGCCCAGAAAGCTGCCTGGCATGCTGTACTTGCAGCACTTTGAAATTCTGTATGTGTAGCCTAGGGCATCCTCAGGTTCTGTTCCCCAGGAATACTAGGGATGATTTTTGGATGCCCATATTTCTGACTTTGCAAAGATAATTCTTTCCACAAAATATCCTAGGTCTGGGAACCAGAATACATGTGCATGCTGTGTTGCCCTTGATCCCTCAGTACTAGTCTTCATAGATCTGACTTATCACAAGGGATGGAGGGCTAGCACGGAATAGGCCTTCTCCTCAGGTTCACAAATGGTTGAGAAGGAATAGGTAAGGAAAGTTCTCTTCTCCTCTAGGACAAAATGGCGTGGCTTTAGCCTTACTTTTGCAACATCCACATTTTCCTTTTGCCATTAAACTCAGGCATTTTTCGCCTAAAGCAGAATATCCTTCTTGGCTGCATCCTCCTTGTCTCAGCAAACCTGTGTTCACCCTTGTAACTGCATGAACTCAGCTGCAAGATCCCTTGAGCAGGACACTTTTTAAAGTATTGTATGCATTTCAGGCTCCGGTACTTAGCACCTACTTTTCTGCAGCCTCTGCAATAGTAAAAATACATGGGAGTGCTCTGCCTACCATAGTACAAACAGCCAAATAAATGTACTTCACTCTCACAAAATGAACCTCCCTGGTAGCAAAGGGATGAGAGATAGCAATGACATTACTTGGCTGTGGGACAGTTTGTCTTTTCAAGGGTCAGAGGAGTTTTAGGTTTGGTATGTTGTTGACAGGGAAGGATCCTGAGCTGTGTCTTGCAGTGCTGATGGATCAGGAGATGGTCTGTCCCTAGGATGGGGGAAATTGATGTTGTGGACTGCTTTTATATTTCTTTACAGACACTCAGGCTAGTTTTATCACTGCAGTGCCTAAATGCCAAACCACACTCACCACTAGCAGGTCATTGAAGAGAAAAACTTCCCTTTGGTGAGCTGCCTGCTTCTGCACTTTGTTCACATCAGTCACTTCATACAAGCGGCTGCAGCAGACCAATCGGCGATGGGGCACAGAGAGAACCTGCAGAAGATCCACAAGAGTGTGTAGGGGTTATGAGAAGGTGCCAGTAAGGTTCACCAGCACTCTTAACTTACACAACCCTTCCAGGTGACAGTGGCACAAGAAAGTTCTGCCCACTCTGCCTACTCTAATTGTTTCCTCACAACCAGTCCTCACCATCAATTATCCTGCTGGTCCCATAACAGAGAGAGCCTTCATGACTTGGATAGATCAGGGGAGTAGAACAGTCTGTAGGAAAGCCACTTGTTCACATCCTACCTTCATATACCTCTGTCTACAAGTCACTGAGTGACTTCTCAGCCCACTGGACTGCCCATGCTCTTTCTGGGCAGTGTCTGCATTTGAGGGTCTTGTAACCTTCCCTATAACTTTGCCTTTCACATCCTACAACTTCAAAAGGCCTAAAAATTCAGAGTACTGCAGAGCTATCACTGAAGTATTGGCAGGCAGGATCTGCATTGGCAAGCAGGACCTCCAATGAGAGGTATTATTGCACTGGATAAAGCAAACTCTGGCCAAGTAAATTCCAAAGAACTAAGAAACAAAGAGATAGCAAGTGAGAAGGTGTTTGGAGAAAAATGCAAGCAAGGGAAGCGTTATGAAAGAAGAGGATTAGAGAGGAAAATGGCAGAAAAGGGGGACAGTGATGGAGGTGGGTGTGGAAAGGGTGAGTAAGTGCCAGCAGGGTTACTGGTGCTCACCGTTTTCATTCCAACTATGGACTTCTCCACCTTGGTGACATATGTCACATGGTCCTCATTGGACTTTAGTTCTTTCTGCTGTATCCTCTCATAGATCCCTACCACCAGCTCCCGTGGAATGTCAGCACCATCATCCACTCCTGCAAAACACAGAAAATGTTGAGCAGACTAGGCAGAGAGAAAAGGAAAGAACTGTCATCCCTGACAGGCAGACCTCAGTGCAATGTTGAGAAGACAGAAAGGAAATAGATTTTTTTTTTTGTTTTAGAGTGTTTTCTTTCTTGGTCTAGCACACAGAATGCACCAGCAGCAGAGACAGTCACATCTAAGACCAATGCTGAAGATTTCATTATTCCATTGCTCTGCATGGTGGCTTTTTTCCATATGTTCCCTAAGGTTTTATAGCCACAATTTCACATTCATATTCCTTGGGCCATTCAGTAGCAACCCCTGCATTGATCTCATATTATTAGAAGTGCTAGGCATAGTGGATATCTGCAATGCGATCCAGCTGCTCCTCCTGCCAATGCAAGCCTCAGATCTCCTATTTACTTGGTAACCTTCAACATTTTCTTTCTGTGATGTCTCCTACGCATAATGCTTCCTTGCTATTCTATCTGTGATCTCTCTGTCTGGGGTCTGTCCCCTTCCTTGTTTGTATTTGCTTAGCTAATTCTCCAAATTTTGCTATTTGACCCTTGAAGAGCCTGTCAGAAAAGTTCTCCTTCTCCTCCCTCCAAACACCACAAATCAAATTGCCTTCCTTCTACACTAAATTCCTTCAATCATGTTACATTGGTTTTCTCTGCTTTCCCTCCAGCTCCCTGGTCTGAGGCTAACTATGCTGCTGCTGGGGAATTGCCTAGGAATGGAGAGGCATTGTCCTCTTCTGGCTCCCTTTTTCATGACCTTGCAAACATTGCCTGAATTCTGTGTATTTTTTTAAACACAGACCAGCAAAGCTCCTAGCCTGTGTGTTGGGCTGAAGGTGAGTCTGGAATGAACCGTCTCCCCTTGTCTGCAGCTTGGTCCTCATGCTGGCTGAATTCATTATGATGTGAATTGATGGTAAAAATTAACATTAATAAATAAAAAAGAAAGAAAGAAAACCTTTTGAGTCAGTTCAATCTGCCACGATACTGAAGGGGTTGATGGCAGAAAATAACTTGAAAGAGGGTCTCGCTGTCACATTATTGCACTCTGAAATGGAGGGGGAAGGCGTAAGAGGCCTTGGACAACACTGTCTGAACAGCCATAAGGTCAAGAAAACAAGTTATAGCAGTCCACAGCAGTTCAAGCACTAGATGAAGATTTACGCTGGGAAAACTTTGAAAGAACTTAACCTGAATTGCAGATTTGAAATACGAAACACTTGGAAGATGACTGACCTAGGAGTGAGCATGGCTGGGAAATTGGACTTTGTCTAGACATCATGTCAAAAAGGCAAAACAATTCTAAGCTGCATTAGCGCATCTGAAAATGAGGAGGAGGTGGTGGTTTTACATAGGAGTGTGTTGTGACCGCATCTGAAGAAATGCTTTTAACAACCTATTACTGAGATAAGGAAGGACCTTGAAAAGTAGAAGAAAATTGATTTGGGGAACTGATGTATTAGAAATTGCTAAGAGGTAATACATGCATGAACTCTGTCAGGCTTACAATTACTGCAAGCAATCGCAAGCAATTAAGAAAAAGATTTAGCCTGAGTAGAAAAATCTGCTCATATATTTAAAGCAACAAGGAGGAAAAAGGCTTGTTTAACGTAATCTAACAGGGTTTAGGAAGGATGGAGATGAACAACAGAAAAGTGTAATACAATGGACTCCTTCCAAACAGTGAAAACCATTAAAAGATGAAACCATCTCTCAAAGAAAATGTGTGAAAAGGCTGGACAGCTTTCTGCAGAGAACAAAGCAGAGATCTTCCCCTTCCCCAGCAAGGCAGAGGATATTTCAAAGCACTCTCCTCCAAATCTGGCTTACAGAGAGCACCAGAAGCCCTGGAGAAAGGCAGCTTTGCTAGATTTTTGCTGCCTTCACCTGGGCAGGATTTAGAGAAGCAGGAGGGCAAAAAAAAAAAAAAAAAAGCCAAGTGGGATGCTCACCTCTCAGATTGCGAATGAAGTCCTCCAGCATCATCTTCCTGTCAGGCTTGATGTTGGGGCTGTACATGTCCGTGTTGAGGAGGATGATTGCAAAGGCCAAGATGAAGATAGTGTCTGGGTTGTGAAACTGCTGGACCACATCTGGATTACACATGCAGTACCTCTGGCTGCAGCAGGAGGGATGCACATACTTAACACAGAACATTGGAGTCCTCTGCACAAGTGTAGCAATGACTTCCTCATGCATGGATCAAATTCCTCCTTCCACTCCAGCTCTCATACAAAAGAGAAGGAACTGCTAGAACTCTGAAGGCCAGTTTACCCACCAACAGCTGAAACTGGCCACTAAAACTTCAGCTTTCTTGTCCTCAGAAGCCAAAAGAGCAAATGACAGTGGACAGACTACCCAACCTGGGGTCACTATGCAGTGGTAATATTGATATCTACTCCAGTCTGTATTTCTAAAGATTCCTCTGGACGCAACAAGGGAACAACCCAGCACCCTTGCAAGCCCCAGTGCTGTTTTTCCTGTCAGTCACCAATGAACAAGGAGTCCCTTGCTGGCAAATATGGCTGGACTCACTCTGACCCTTTGTCCCTTCATGCCACTGAACATCCATCAAGGATGTGGCTCTGTGGCGGCAGTGGAACAGAAGACTTCCACAACCAGCTTCTTTAGAAGGGGGGTCCCTGGTCAGTCATTCCATTCCTGCTGCATGTTTTCTGCCTTGGATATGCTCCCTGCTTCCAGCAGGTTGCAGCAGTGTGGCTACAGGGCTCTCTTTCTTACCTGAAAGCCTCAATTAGCCGCTCAACCTTCTGTGCCTCCCCCTGCACACGGATGTGAGCCTGGAATTTCCGCAGCGCTTCATCCAACTCCATGCCTGAGAAGTCCATCTCGTCCACCACGCAGCTGTGGGAAGGGGATACAGCCTTTGTCAGCACCTCCTCCTGGGCAGGATGCCAGGTTGGCTCCTTCATTGTGGTGCCCAGGCTGAGTTTCCAAGGGAGATACCATGGAACAGGCCGATAACTCTGTGTTTTTGTTGATATTTTCTATATCTGTACAGTTACGTAGACAACTATAGTGATCTAGATATTTAAACTCCTATATACCAATATGAATACAGATATAAATCCATCTATTTTGGCCTCTTTTATCGTCTGCCAATTATACTTCACACACTGTCCATTCCCAACTGCTTCCCACAATGTGCACTTGTTCACCACCCATTTATCCATCCTTCTCTTATCTGCATTAACTGTATTCATCCTCTCCTCACCTTCCATTCAGTCAAGCACGTATCCACATTTGCAGACCAGATTTTCTTCTCCACTCTTCACTCCCACCCAAATGCTGCAGCAAAAATATTCGCTACATTTGTAAAGACCAGAGGCCACTCAAAGAAAATGTGAAATGGAAGCTCTTGTACAGAATGGGGATCATTACCCTCGTGCTTCTCATTTATATTCTCATTTTACGCAAGTCTTACTGCTAATCTCAAAAGTCTATTACAGTCATTCCTTCTGTCTTCATAGTTAAATCCTCAAGTTCTTATTGTTACTGAATGATATTTTGATCTTCATTTGCAATGACAATACCTTCTCTATATGGTTTCAGCACATTTTGTTAGCAGACTCCTACCATCTATGTCCAGGTCTTCACCGCAAACATTCATCAAAAGGCGAGGCTCAGGAAACTCTCCTCATAACCTCCTTTAAGTCCACCTTCCTATTTCAGCAGAGTATGTAGGCACTAATGTCTGCATAAGCCAATTCTCTTCCCCATTTATGATTCCTTTATTAATATCTTTCTCTTCTACACTCAGCTAACCATTTCTCATGTCAAATACTTTGCTGAAGTTTAGAATTATCTTCTGTATGTTCCTTGTCTAGAAAACCAATTATTTGTCAAAGAACGACAGAATTAATCTATTCTCCACTGGTGCTAGTACGTACCATTTACCTTCTTGTCTGCTATTATTTTTTCCCATAAATGAATTCTTGAATCTGACATCTTATCTGAAAGACGAAGAAATCCACAGGTGCCAAAATTCCATTTTCTTTAAAATCTTCCTTAAATGCAAAGTTACTAGCTTGCTAATATTCAGTAAAATTGCACCACCTGGACATCACAAATGTATTAAAAATTCAGTGACTTCACATTTTCTGCTTCCATGCCCTTCGAGTGCTAATTCTACCTTTCATCCTGTTTATCTCATCTTCTGTATTACATTTGGTTTGGCTTTCTCTTGTAAAGGGTAAACTGATCCCAAATTTAGGGCTGGGAAGAAATTTTTCAAAAGACAGGTCATCTGAGAATGCATGAGAAATGTAGAGAATGAGGGATGAGGCAAGTAAATTAAAGGGAGAGGGGATTAGCTTCCTTCTGGATTCTTCCAATTTCTAGGATCATCTGGAAATTTCACCAAACATGCTTTTGCTAATAAAAACGTATGCCGTAATCAGGTTCTTCTGCTTTCTTTCTGTGCTATCCTACATACTTTGCTAATAGTTTTTTCTATAGTTCTGCAGTTTGCTGTAGGCTGTTGAGCAGTATTTTGTGAACTATGCCATTGAATGTCACAACAGCAGCCTTGCTAGAACAAAAAATTATTGCTTGAATGTCTCAGATGGGTGAGGGATAAGATTCAAATACTCAGATAGCTCTTTTCCTTCTCACATTCCCTCGTCGATTCAAGAGCTATCATTGCTTACCTGGAATGACAGCCACAGAACACCTTACCAAGAGCTCTGTCTGAACTTAGGGTGTTCAGGGTGTTCGGTATCTTCTATGGAGCAGCTATCATCTCAAACCAGAAACATGGACTCCTTCCTTACACAAATTCCAGATAATCAAAGCATAGGAACAACTATTCAAGAGCAAGGGCAGAGAATCAATGGGGCCACTCTCACAGGAAATCTTACACAAAAACTTCATTTTCCTCTCCAAGAAGTGGACTGCAGAAACACTTGCAAATTGATTCTGGCAGCAGTGAAAACTCTCTCTTCTGCCCCTTTCCTTTGTTATTCTTATTTTTCTCATACTTGCATTCACTTGTCCCTTGGGTTGACATCAAGGCATTCTGCTTCTTGGAATTTGTCTTTGATAGTAAGAAAAATTTTTCTCTGGTTAGTCATTATTGTGTTCACAGCTGCAAACATCTCTGTAGTTGGACTTCTGTTATTATTTTTTAATCTTTTCTGATACATGATGTTTCTCAGCATTGTCTCCAATGATTTTGCTATTACTATCTGCTTCCAGACGTGTGAAAGCAAGAGTGCTTGCACCCTTTAAGACCTGCTGAAGTCATCCTAGTAGACCAATCCACCATCATTAAATTGTATCTTTTCCTTCCTCTCACTGATAAATCCTTCCCCTTCCACACAGTATGGTCTAACACATCTTTTCTTTCAAGTCTGAATCACAAATAATAAAGTCAATGCTCTTGTCTCATAGGACAAGTAGGGCAAGTCAGTTGTTTATAGTTATTTTCAAATTCAAGCAGGTAGAATCATTTCCACACCTTTGCTTCATACTCACTTTAATGTCAACATCATCTTTTCAGACCACCCTTCTGCCATCTGTTACACAGCAACAAAGTGTAATGGAATACTGGGGGAAGGTTCAACCTCTACTGCCATACCACCAACATCTGCCTCTGGCATCATGGGCCAACATAATAGAATAGGAAGCATTACTTTTGAGCAGCCCTCATATTATTGATGTTGCCCATTCAGTTAATCAGAAAAGATTTCCAACATCTGCCACACAATCTACATCCCTTTGTTGGAAAAAGGACAAAGTAATGCATCAAGCTAATAGAGACTCTGAAATTATTCTTAGGTTGTACTAAAGGACAGAGCAAGATGAAAATTTTGAGATTAGATTCTGTAATGTTTTTGGGAAGACAATATCAGGAACTGCATAGGACTAGTGGAAGAACAGCCTGTTTGTAAAAGAATATATGACCACTAGCACAACACAAGCTCAAAAACAGAGTAGCAGCTTGGAAATATACCTAAAACTGTAGGTCATTTCTGAGGCTTGTTCCTGACCTGGATAGGCAAAGCTGAAATGAGCAGCAGGGTTCATCACTTTTACATTTTATATGTCATGGGCCATCCCATGATCTCAGGGCAGAGGAGGAACAAAGGATGCATGGCATCCCAGGGCACCACTTTTGGTTAGCTCTAAGAAGGCTCAGGGAGAATCTGATTGTTGACTACAACTGCCTACTGAAAGCATGGGAAATGAAGCCTGGCTTTTCTCACAGGTGTTCAGTGGTGGAAGGATGAGAAGCATCAGACTCATGCTGGAACATGGACAACTGCCAGTTAGGCAAAAGGAAAAGACTGCCACCGTGAGGGTGCTCAGACATGGAACCAGTGCCAAGAAAAGCTGGAGGTCTCCATCCTCCCCAGGGTATTCAAATTTAAATAAGCTTGATTGAATGAATCAAACTCACAGAACCAGCGATCAATTCTCTAAATGTGTCATCTGCACTACAGGCCTTCTCAAAATGGTATCAACCAAAGGAAATCTATGAATTAGATGAGAGGTGTCACCTGCCCCCGTTAGTCCACTGAACAGCTTAAAGCTTAACAGTTGGTTCTACCTCCTGCATCTATACAAGGCATGAAAGCAAAAAAACAGGAAAAAGGGACACAGTGGGATCACCTGGTACCATATTAGTGTAGAAAGCCATCACAGGAAATATGAGTACAACTGGCTTAGCTCTTTGTTCAACAACATTCTGTACATTTTCTTGGCACATCATTTGTAGTTTAGTCACTGCACAGGAAACAAACGTCTCCCTTTCCTATTCACCTAATGTTACAATATGAACACTTTCATGTTGCTAGAGGTGCATAGGGGTTAATTGATGGGGGACAGCCACCTACATAGCTTTGCCTCTGTACCTAAGCGCTCTTTTCAAGATCCCTATTCCAGAGATTGCAGAGATGGAATCTCCCCAAACTACTTATGAAGAGGCATAAGGCTTCACCTTCAACTGCCCTGTGATAAGGGAGAAAACAGGCTGAGGATAGCAAACCCCACCCAGAGGACATCAGGTTCTCTCCTTCCCACTCCTGTCCTTTGGGGATCAGGGCAGAAGAGATGCTACCTCATGGGAAAGGACAGCTGGATTCAACTTTTGAAACTCAACAGTTTTAATAATTGCATCCTCTTTAACTGACTGTGGAGTGTCAGTATGCTTTGCCCCCTCTCTGCTACTATCAGGCAACAGGATGGCTACACTCCAGGCATCTGTAGGGTGGTTGAGAACATCCCTTCCTCAAACCTCTTGGTACATTCTTGCAACTATCTCATAGAAAGAGCCATGGGTCCCAGTGCCCAACTATCATGTTTTGGTCACCATGGGAAACTCAGAATAGTGTAGTTATACTCAGAATAGTGTAGCCATGGCCACCTTCTTTTCCAAGCCCTGTAAATATGAGGATCCTGCATCCAGAATACCAGTCACTGAGCCAACATAGCCAGCGGTGTTCTTTCTCCGTGTGAGATACACAAGAAGTTTTCTTTTGAGGACAGAGGCTTTCATCTGCCTTTCAAGAAGAGGCAGCTGGCGGAAAGAGGCAATGACATTGAGCCCATGGATGTGGATCCATCTCCAGAGGACATCTTGATAGAAGTGAGTCCACCTCTACTTGGGCAGACCACTCACCATGCCATCATGAAGAGATCATGAAGAGACAAAGATTACACAGAGATGGCTCCCTGTGTCCAAGGAATAAAACAGCAACTTATGTGTATGTGCTAAATCTAGTACAAACAGCAGCATGCCTGTGAGATGCCTATTCCTAGACAACCAGGAGGACTGAAGGACAACAAAGTAGGGGTGGAGTAATCACCTTACAAAATCTCCTCCTCTTAGGAGGACTTTGGAC